AGCCCAGTGGCCTTTCCGCCACAAGGCAGCACTCCCATTGTAACTTAGACTCCAGCACATCCCGCTTTAGCTAGCTTTGTAACACACACTAAGTGTGTCACAAAGGGATGGAAATTATTTTGTTGTTGTTTGAGAATTATGAGGAAAAAAAAAAATGTAAAAGAAAGAATAATCTTGCAAGTAAGGCTAAGGGTGTACTTCTAGCAATTTCAGGGGGCTTTTCAATCAGCAACTCCTTTTTACCAAGAACTGTGTAAAAGATGAGGTAACCAGGATAACTTTATAGACTAGGACTGCCCTGCCTCAGACAGCTCTCCAACAGAAGGCAAATCTGAAGTGCAGCATCTTCCCCAAAGAGATGGATGGAGCAGAAGGACTCTCTCTTCCTCCATACCATGCAACTTCCCTCATCATTCAAAAACAGAGCTTCAATATTGCACGACAGAAACACTTTTGCAGAGGAGAAATGCACATGGAGAGGAGCCCTAAGCAGCAGGATGAGGCTGCCAACTGAAAGCAAACCACTAACAATTGCTACTTCTTGTTTTCCCTTTGCTCTACCTTATTCAGCCACTTTCTGCTTCTCACAGTTTTCTTGAGTACTGGCATTAAACTCTTAAGATCAGACTGTACCTATTTTAACTTTGAAATAGTGCCCAGAGCATGCTTTAGGTGCTACATGTGATTTTAGAAAATTATCTCAAGTCTGTAAGAGTGAATTGAGGTAATATTCTGTGCCAAAACCGTAAGAAGGAGAATTCTTGAAAATGCTAAGGGGCTTGTCTGAATGGGGTAACAGACAGGGATTTTTTTTTCCCCGGACTTCCATCTGGAAGCTTGCAGAAAGACAGCAGAGTCCAATGTGAGGTTCGCAGGAGGTACACGGTGGCAGCCTTGCTGCTGCCAGCTTTTCCCCACAAGGCACCTACGACCACAGATGAACCACAGCAGCAAAAGGCACTTCATTATTGCTGCAGTGAAGAGAAGGGAGGGAGGGTTTTAAACAACCAGCATTGTGCTCGTCTTCTTTAAAAACCAGTAGCGTAATCAAGTTCAGGGCAGCCCTGGACAGCTGCCCTGTGACCTATTCATGTTGACCCCCACTATTCATCACTTTCCTTTGGACTATGAGGGCAAGCTCCCGGGGAGTGACCACCACAATAGACAGATACGAGCCAACAATAATACGGTTCCTGCAAAAAAACCAGATGGCACTGCAATAAATTTACAAATCTGCATTCATGGCTCTGTTAAAAACACCCAGAAGCTAAAAGGCTGGAGGGGCCCCCAGAGAGTTTCCCCTTCCCAGTTTCTAAAGGCCGACTCTCTCCCCAAGACTACTGAGCTCATGTTCTTCATAAATGAAGGATGGAGACATAGCCCTTAAAATAACAAATGGCTGACCTAATCAATCTAGTGTTTGGGTCTAACACTAAATGATAGGCACTGAAAACTAATTATGTTTTTTGGCAAGAAGTTGAATTAAAATGGAAACACACAGGTTAAAAATGCACTGAAGCATTTGCGAGTCCCTTTGAAAGGGCAGCACACACACACGCTCACATGCAGGGCTTGAAACAGGAACCTGATTCAATAACTCATGCATTTATTTTTAAAATGAATCAGATTAGTCCCATGTGTGACCTGCCGGTCCATCTGTATGAGCTGGACTTAATGGGCACTCTTCTCACGCTTACTTCAGTTTGAAGTATGAGAGAGATAAATTTAGTTTAATTTTCAACAGATCAAGCTATCCATTTTCCAAATGGACCATCTGGATCAGCCTATTAAAATTAATTTATAACTTTGCAGTGTGAAAATTCGTTTGTTAGCTTAAATAAAGTTGCCAAAAACTTTTGCCACACTTGTCATTGTTTTTTTCTGGTCTGTTTTCATACTATGATTTGCAGTTTATCCCTTCAAAATTTAATTTTGTCAGATCAAGCATTCAACAAAAACTGAACGTCTGCATCCATATTCCCAAGTCTGTCATAGCTTAGATCTTTTCACTGTTCCAGCAAACAGTGTCAAGTTCATTGCCTTCTTCTGTTTCTCAGTGCTAATCTCCATGTCTTTTCTCCCTTGCTGCCCTCACATGCACCCAACAGTGGCTGTGCCTTCCACTTCCAGCAATTCAAGGACACAGCCCCACTTTTTGAAACTTCTGAAGACACCCTTCTCCATAAACCATTTTAATCAACAGCAGAATTATATTTCTCATATTAAGAGTTCCACAGCACTGAGCAATGAGTGTCTTCAGCCCCTGCACACAACTTCAGATGCTAAGTAAGCATTACACCTCCTTAACACCTCCACCTTCTGGTATGTCTGATCCACAAACCCACCTGAGAAAAAAGTGTGGCTAAGGCTGCATAACAGCACTGCAAACAAGGCAAGAAAAGGAAATGCACCTTTACTTAAACTTGTTAGCAGCTGAACATGTCAAGACATAGCACTTACCCTGAAGTGGTCTGATGCATCTCATTAATTTTCTAAGACTAATCAAAAAGTACTAAATATGAGGATACATTCACTGGAAAGACCATTTAAATAAACAGACTCCTACCCTCATACGCTCAATTTCTCTGTGCATGTAGGTCCATGTTCCCCAATAATGAAATATTAAGGGAGTCTTATGGGAGGAACAAAAAATACTAAACTGTTCACACAATATTTACCAAGTTAGCATCTTTCCAGTAAAATGGAAGGTATTTTTGTGTATTATAGCTTTGACAGCGTTTACAGGTCACTCTTTTTTTGGTTCTACAAAGCATGGATAGATGTAAGACATAGCAGTCACTCTGCATACCTTCTTACAGGAGATCCAGATCTTTCCAATAAGCATTACTCACTGATTTTGAGTATTTAGGTACATGGCTAAATGTGTCTGACTTCTGGAATGAGAGCCCCAGAAAACTCCCAACTGTTCCTGTCCATTCTAATGGAGAAGAGGAGCAATCTGAGCTTTCAAAATGCTCAGACAGCTTTATTTATGTCTATGTGAAGAACCAGAATTCCCTCCATAACAGGCAAAAAATCATAGACAGCCACCTCTTATGATCTAGACAAGAGGGTACTTGCTTTAAGACTAAGACTACATCTTGAATTTATTTACAAAGACTTTCTCAACACAAAGGCCCCAGATAGCAATAAGATGATCTGCATAATTTTGTCCTGCCTCCGTCATGTGAAGATAGAGACTGACACAATGTCTCAACAATATTGTGCAACACAGCTAACCATCTTCAATGTAAACAATGTCCATTGAATTATTTCCAACATGAAATCTTGGGACACTACAAGTGGTTTTTTAGTCGTATTCCTGGTATCTACTTGATTATGATGATTTGTGGACCTGAGGGAAAAGACAGCTTTCCTGTGACACTAAGAATACTTCTGCAGATTGAAATATAACAAAATGGAAACCCAATTCAAGAAACTGTACCTTCCTCATCTATATAATACACTTTCCAAATACCTGTTTCTTCAATCAAAAACTATGAGGAAGGACTCAGTGTAATGAGAAGACATACAAAATAAGTAACTCATTATCTTTTTAATGAACATCTCTTACTATGAATCTTCTTTTGAAGGAGAGTCATATATCTCTTCTTGCTGAACCTGATGGCTTGCCATGGATAATATAACTCTAAGATAAACCCCATCCTGATTTCCTGGCATGCTGGGGACCTTGTTTCCTATCCTGGGAATACTAGGATATTCCCAGTAGGTTTGCCCTCTTTCTCCAGCTCGTTTGTTGCTGAATGCCAGAAACAGTTTAAGTTTCATCTAACATATTGAAACAATTTTGCAAGGTAATCCTTCTCAGCTATAAATGGGACCTCAGCCATTATGCCAGCCCATTGCCTCATGTCTAAAAGACTGAAATGGACTAAATCTGTTAGATGGACCTGTCTTAGTCACATGTATGTAGTCCTTTACATGACACCTCCTTCCACAAAATCAAACACTCCTATTAAAACACAAAAAAACCCCCTCAAAATAACCACACTAACCAAACAACTCTGAGCACAAGTGCACTGCATCAAAAGATATATCTTCCTTTACTATGGTTCTGACCAACAACTTCTCCTGGAAATAGCTGATGTGGGGCAGGATTGTGCCATCTTATTCCTCTGCCTGAGGCTGCTGCTCCTGTGGCTGAGATGCAGAAAGGAAATGCAACAATTCCTCAGCTGTTGCAATGTATGGCCTGGGGTATTCACTAAAGTCACATTCACCAATGGTTTCACTCTGATACACCAGGCAGCAACCTCAGGCAGCTAAGGCATGGACATAATTTTGCTTCTGATGCCTGAAGGTTGCAGTGGGGAGAAAGACCAAAGTGAAAATGGATCAGAAATCACTAAACCCAGCTTAAATTTTCCAGAAAGCACATGCCAGTATCCCTTTGCTGGCCATGGGGATTAAAAAAAGGAAGTATTTTGAATAGGTAAGGAATTTGCTTTACTATATATAAAGGACAAAGAAATACTGTTTTAGTAAACATCCTTTCTCCTTTCTACCCATTAGTAATTTATATGAATGTAAAAGCAACAAGAACAGGTCATTTTTCAGGTTATTAACCTGGATATCATCTCCAAGAAAATTTACCTTCAAGGGCAATAAAAAGTTTAATTGTTGTACAGCATTTTGAGAGTCTTGATCTGAGGCAAGGTAAAATATACTACAAACAAGACAGGAACAATTACAAAATAAAAGGCTGAAGCGGTCTTGATGAACACCAACTGGAGAAAGGTAAAGCTAAAGTCACAGTTGACTGAACTATACTGAAGCATATATTTCTTCAGAGTCATCAAACTCCCCTGAAAGCTAAATCTCTGTGTCTGATTTTCCGGGTGCAATATGACTTGCTCAGACTTCAAAGAAGAAAATAAAAGATTTCCATGAGCACAAGCCAGACTTCAGCTTCCAGAAGCATTTAAGGATTCAAATAGCTAGAAAGTTTTATCACATTTTTAAAGAGACTGATCACATACCTGTCTAAGTGAATTCTTCTCAGGAATGATCTTCCTAGGGGGCTCATCATTATTACAGTCTTCTCTCTCAGAGGAATTCTGTGAAAGAAAGTAAGCTTTAATTCAGTTCTTATCTCTAATATTACTCTGCAAGGAGAAAAGAAACAGAGTATTTTTCCTACATAGGCTGTAGCATTTTACATATACACATACTGGAGGCTAACTTGTACTTTTATGCCAAACAGCTTGTTATGGCAGAGAAAGAATTTATCCTCCTCAACACAACAATGCAACACTGTGCAGGTATCTATTGAAGAAGCCCGTGCTTTAGGGATTTATTCTGCAGCTACCAATAACAGCCACTTCCAAAAGCTGAATGGTGGTTGAATCAGCATGGCAAAACTGGTGCTCCTGAACACCCCAGAATAACCATTTAAAACAGTGGAACCTGTTGAAAGCAAGAGGTTTTTAATGGGTGCAACTGTTGTTCTCTGTGCCCGTATGTTTTTAATCTGCCTAACAATTACTAGTTGCACTGAGTCTGCCTGGCTGCCTAAAATCATAAGAGAAATTATGGTGGAGCTAAATTTTTCTAAAAGAGGTTGTCAGGAAATCCTTCCAAAAAACCCCCAAATATTGTGTAGTTAGTGTATGATAATACAGCTGTTATCTTCTCTCCTGCTGCCTGACTCCACATACATGTACATAGACATACACATACACATACATTTCTAGAAAGACTGATTCTCCAAAATGTAAGCTGCCATCTCCAGTCAGACAAGAGGATGTAGACAAGAAATACAAGGGCTTTTCCATCATGAGTTAAAAATACAACTAGGAAACTTCTGTCATGCTAATGTGATGATTGAAACCAAATATTGCTTGGTTTAAAGACAAACTGTAGTTGTATCAGGGCATGAATAGTCTCTTGTAAACGTGTGGTTAAAAATTGCTGGATTCGGTGGGGAGAATATTGACTTCACTGCCAAAGTCAGCTACTCTGGAAGACAGCGCTCCTTCCCACAGGTTCAGCTACTGCACTCAGGGAGAAATGACAGTAAGCTTTGGGGGAATCCCACACACACATCTAAAATAACTTTGATCACCACACTATTCATAGCCTTAGGCCACGTTCCCACACATTCAGTAGTGAGCAACTAAACATGTTTTAAAGAGATACAGAAAAACTGCCTAGGGAGAGCTCTGCCAGGAAAAGGGTGCCTATCCAGTTACTTGCAGACAAGCTCAGGACTGTGTCATTTACAGCAGAAGTTTGCATTCTGTACCTGTCCCCCAAATAACCCGTCCTTTGCTGAGCATGGCTCTGCCTGGCTTCTCACAGAGACAGCTTCCAGCCCAACACCTCAGGAGACAGAAGTGGCATCTGTTGGCAGAGGAGGAGCGGGGCCCTGCGAGCAGCAGCACGGCGGCCGCGGGAGCAGAGCAGAGCGTGTGCCCACTGCAGTGCTGCGTGAGCACGGGCTGGCTGCTCTGGGCAACGGGAGCACAGGGACAGCCAGGACACAGGGCAGGGACAGAAGCTGCTGAGAAATGGCAGACAAGGGGTGGAGGGAGAGGAACAAAATAGTAAAACCCCACTTGGGATGTCATAAACTGGTCAGGAGTAAATCAAGGCTTGCAGACCAACTAGTGATTTTGAATTTATTTTTTTTTTTAACAATATATAGAACCTATAAGGCACCATGACATTTGGAATGCTGTAACCAAGGTTTTATAATGGAAATCAATCCTAAACAGGCCTGATAAATCACTGTAAGAGGCTAGGTTTTAAATTTTTTTGTATGAGGTCACAGTTAGGACCAAGTTATTACATTAAATCCTGCTTTGAAAGAACTGTGATCATAAAAACATACAAGCTAGAATCGCATACATACAAAAAGGAAGGTCAGACATTAAAGCTGCTCTTTTCTGCTACAAATTTAGTTTAGTAAGTGGTAGATTCAAGTCAGGATTTTAATTTTTGTGCTTTGGGGAAAAAAAAAAGGGTCAAGAGTGAAAAGTATAAGAACCTGAGGTGAGTTACTAAAGGAAATACATTTTGTTGTGGCTTTTTCAACACTCACCCCCTTCACTACAGTAAGTGTCAGAACAATTCCCCTTTCCAAATAATCTCTCTTCAACAGTGAAATCTTGCATTCTCCTCGCCTTTCAAAGCCACTAAGGATCCTCCCTCCCACAAACATCAAAAAGCAGGAACTGCTGGTGAACTGTTAGCCCTTATTTTGAAATTTCTAGTTACTGTAAAGCATCAAGTTATCTAGTTTTTCTTTAAGCTGAGCATCTAATTTTAAGAGCAAGCAGAGGGCCATTTTGCATTCATTATCTTTATAGGTGGCAAGGCTAAGAGGTTGGCTGAACAAAGACCAGACAAAGACTGCCAAGTACATATGGTGGTTCACAGCTTGGCGTCTCACCATTCTACAGCACCAACACAGCAGCTCCGATAGCAGACTATTAAAGAGGAGCGCTGCTCATGCACTTTTGTCGGCAAGTAAGTTACGCTTGGTGAAGACAGAATGACTGGAAAGCATTGCACTTAAGAAAAAGCACAGATGTTTATAACTCCCGCTCATTTCTCAGGAAAAGGAAAGCTATCAATCCAGGTGCAGATACAGGACCCCGCATATTTCAGGACTAACTGTAGCTGCATGGAAGTGAATTTCACTTGACAGGGCAACACTTAGCCATGGCCAAGGGAAGAGCATAACGTAATTGACTGAAACGGTATGTCTATATATTTCTCCTTGCTGAACAAGGTGGGAGGAGGGATAAACATGTGCGAGGTCAGAATAAGGTTTGTCTCAGCAGGACTCCAGCGATGCTCTCGGCCACAGGAGAGGCAGACAAAGGGAGGAACCGCTCTGAGCACCCTCTCGTGGTTACTGAAATGCACATCCCGAGCACAGACCTGGAAAGAAGCATTTGGAATCCAGACGGTAAGTTGGATGTACTCACCGGGAATATTAAAGATCTGCAGCAACTGTACTTCATACATAGTAGGGGAATGATGGAATTTGTTAGGGAGAAAGAAGCACGGAAAACTAGTGCACATGGGAAAGCTGAAAAGCCAAACAAGCTCCCTTCCACCAGGGAAAATTTTTACTTCCCATAGGCAAGCCTTCTTGACTTAAGCTGGACTGGCTAAAAGTGTTTGTACTTCCATGCAAGGGTCTCTTCTTTTGAACAAATACAGGCAAGATTAAATGCTGAAATCTCCAAAGCACCCCCTCTTTCCACAGACAGGTAAAATAATTTTTTTTTTCCCCAAGGTCACACAATGACAGGGGAAGTACTGAGAAGCCAGGAAACCCAAGCTCATAGTTCTTGTAACCTTGAAATTTTATCTCTAACAGAAGATTCCTACAAAGGGGCTCTGCCCTCCATAGCTCATTTTTCCTAAAATGGCTACTGCCTGTAATGAGATCTTTTTAAATCTGATTTGCATTTAAAACTTTAGCCTGTAATTAACAGAATATAACTCCATGGCAGGTTGTCTTAAAGACCACTACAAAATTATTACTATTTAACTCTCCCCATGAAGCCTCCTCCACCACTAAACACAACATGCTACAATGCATATGAAATCCCCAGACTGAAGCATTTGACAGGAGATGACATGCAGTATTTTGTGTACACAGCCCAGCAAAACACTGCTGGGAATGAGATATAATACATGGAGAAATGCACTCCCAGGGACTACCAATTGGGCAGAGCTACCTTTAGTACCGCCTCACTCATGGTGGAAATCAAACCCCTGCCAACTGGGGGAGGCTTTCTTTGATGCTGTTCTGCCCTGCACTAATTATAAAAGAGTACAGACACAGCCTTTTTTCCAAGTGTATGGAGGTGGGGGTGGGGGAGAAGCGTGTGTCTGTGTGAAGAGCACAACTATTTTTTATGCTTTCAAATTCTTAATCCTGTTTGGAGCTGTCAGTGGGGGTTAATGGAAGCCTTGGATAGGAGAATTCCAATCTGGTTGGCAGATGGATAGGTTGGTTATAGCTGCATAACTATGTCTTGCCTGCAGGCACAATTCAGAACACTGTTAAAGCAATATAAAGTCTCTGTCAAGCTGAACCATTTGGATCAGTAGCAAGGAGAAATAATAATAAAAAAGGAGTTCATTTCTGGGCCTTGCGTGTTTATGCTAGTATGCAGAAACTGATTAATTGTCATCGTGCGCTGGTCTGCTATACCTCGGATTTCTACTTCTGGAGTAGATTTTGCATGCTAATATAATCATTCTCCCTCTTGAGACATTAGCAAATAATCAAATGAAAAACAGGATCATAATTTACTGAGATTCGGGCAATTCTCTATGCAAATTTGACTTGTTATTGCTGCTGCCTCGTTAATCTGAATGCCTTTGACAAACTCCTTTGATTTATGAACTCATGACAACTCCAATGTGTATATATTTTGCTAGATTGACATTATCATTAAGAGTGGGTGGACTGAGCTCACATGAATGGCTGATTTTATTCGCTGGTGTCTGCTGCTCAACAGCTGAGCATCTCCTTCTCACAAAGCCCCTGAGCGCCAGGCTCTTCCCATCTACCCATCCATTCATCATCTCGATGTTAATTGGCCCAGGCTTTAAGCAAATTTTCAACACGATTTAAAGGCACGATGACACTGATTACTGACCCTCTGCCATACGGTGCCTATTGATTAACCTGACAGAGATGATGAGCTTGAGGGAAACTAGGTGTGTGTGTGGACCTCGGGGAGGGGAAAAAAAATAATATATTGTTTATGCAGGCAAAACACTTGTCTTTATCCCAAAGGCCAGAATTTGTGTTGCACTGGCCCTTAAAACACACTATTGCTTTAAACACCTGCATCCAATACAGAAAATGCTCGCTTGCTTGCTGTGGAAAAATGATTACAAATTTGATGTCATGTGCAGTCTGTATTTTAATCGAGTTCCCTGATAAATAGACCCCCTCAAGCCAATCAAGTCTCGCTCCAGCCATTGCGTGCATATACATCAGTTCGAACAGAAGCCTGGGTGTGCAGAGTGTGCTTTTAGTGGTATCAGCAGATCCAACTGCATGGAGGAAATCTACTTGGGTATT